CACACACCCCGTGTAAAAGCTTCATGTACATGTTTTTCACGCACCCTTGACCTGCTAAAAGCTGCCTACCTCTCTCTGTCACGCTCCTTCGAGCGACATTAAAGCTCATAACGACAGGGAGCGGCTCATCTTCCAGCTAAAAGTGTAGGGGGGTCACGGATTACAGACAGGCAAAATGCCTTAGTTCCTGATGCCCAAATGATATGCAAGTACCATATTATTTCTTAGAGTGTAGTATGTGGATGTGTGGGGGCAAATTGTATGGAGGGGTATTTCATTTTCTAGATCAAGCAGCGTGACTAACCTGACCACCACTGAGACCGCCATTGAGACTGTCTCCAACCGTCACGTCGGCTTGCTCCTGCAGCCCCATCTAGAGAGAGAGGGACAAAACTAACTTCTTGAGACTGTGCAAGCTAAAACACTGGTATCCACTAAGTGAAGGTTACGCTATGCAAGTTTAACAGACTTCTCTCATCCTACTGTACATGCAAATGTATGGGAACGATGCTGGATAGCCTGTCAGTGTGTTACTGTACTAACTTACTGAACCTACAGCTTATTCCAAAATACTCACTTCTCTGATGACTTGTTCGACTCTTTCCAGTTTCTGGCGCAGAGTCATTCCCCTCATGGCCTGCATGTTCATTGAGAACAGGAGGTTTTCTCTCACAGTCAGTTCGTTGTAGTAGTAGGTGGCCAGTTGCCGCACGTAGCCAGTGTTACCCACAAACCACCGCCTCATCTTTGACATCGGGACTCCGTTGATCAGGATCTCCCCCTGGAGTTAGAGGTAAGGAGGAGGAGGAGGTAGAGGAAAGGAAGGAGGGAAAGAGAGAGTTGAGGGAGGGTGAGAGTAGAAAATGAGGGTGATTAAACGCTATTATTACGGAAAACTGCAAAATTCAGACAAGTAGGTGAGTTCACTTTGCTTGCCAACTAATGGAGGGACCAAGAGGAAAGTGCAAGTGGGTGTGAGTACTAATCAGTGTTCGCCTGAAGGGCTTTCACAGGAACTAAAGGCTGACGTCTAGCCGCTGGGGGCATGCTGCAGAAAGTGTGAAACTACTGGAGCAAAGACCACACCGTGTGCCCCCAGCCTCTCGGTCTGCCTTTCACTAGCCACCCATGCCCATCACAACAGCATGCAACATCAACCCCCAGCTATACAAAGACACACACACACACTATCCTTGGCCACCCATACACATGTGCTGCCTTTTTACTACATACTTACACATGGTAGGAATATAGAGAGTTTCATGGATTTAGTGCAGCTCTCGAACTACTGCTCTTTAGGAATACGTAGCACTCTAGTAGAGTGTTGTGGGTTTTGTAAGTTAAGCCTTGGAAAAGTAGTGTTGTCTTGGGTGTCGGTGAATTGCAGTTTGCCTTGCTTATTGTCACCTGAGATATGATTCATGAATGGGGCTAGACTAGGCATAAGGTGAATACACTATCAGTTGTTTATTTGAACGTTTGAAGCTTTGGAAACTGCTATGGAATTTATGGAATCCCTGCGTTGTCTTCAGAACAATAGAAACTGCCATGTAATTGAAAGCCTAAGGAGTGAGGCTAAAGGGTTAAACTCTGGGCAGCGCTTGGGAGGGAAAATTTCCCTGACGAATTCTCTCATTGTTTGCACTGACAACAACCACATCACATCTTACAGAGAGCTTTGTGAAGCAAACACAAAATTTAATGTTTTACTCCTATACATGTAGCTGTAATACCTAATTGGTAGCATACGAACGAGCACGTGCGCATCTATGTAACATTTCACACATTCTGAGATGAAATCTATATATTATACAAAGCTCCAACTTACGTCTGTGACTCCAGTTGTCCGTTTGTTGAGGAGGACGTCGAGAAGAGTGGTCTTCCCCGAGCCCGAGGGGCCCATGATGGCCACCAGCTCCCCGGGGTTGATGTACAGGTTCACCTGGTTGAGAATCGTCTTCCTATGTCTTCTCGCGGGGATCTCCACCCCGTCACTGGACTCCGCGCCAAAGCTCCGAGTGTCAAACTCGTCAGAACTATTGGTGGCACTGCCGTCCGTGGGCACTTCTTCAGTTTGAGTCTTCCCTGTTTTGATGACAGAGTCTTCAGTGGATGAGATGCCAGAGTCGGGCCTGATCATGGTGGAGTGAATGAGTTGGCTCTGGCTGCAGACGGTCGCGTCCGGTTTCGTCCGGTTCTGCTGCCACAGTGCCCACTTCTGGTACCACCGCGAGCAGAGTAGTCTGTAGCACGGCACGAGTAGCTCAAGCTTGGCGTTCGTGTAGTGGTGCTCCGGCGAAGAGACTTCTAGACCATCTGTTGCCTCGTGACTCTCTGGAGTCTTTGCAGCGGATCCTCTCACCGACTCTATGTGGTGGGAGAGCTCAGTGCAGGAAATGTTGACCGGGTGTGTCGGCTTGGGAAAGCTCCGATTCCTCGGGTTGCGGTTTGCCTCGATCGAATACAGCCTCTGTTGGAGGAGGAGGTACTTCATGTAGAGGTAGGCGCTGGTTTTGATGAACACTGCTACAAGAGTCATGAGCCCAGCTAGAGCCAACACGAGATAGTTCCACGTTGTGCTCCACAGCTGTACTTCTGGACTGAATGAGATGTCACTGGGGCAAGTCCCGCAAGCCGGGCCACTGCAGGCATCGGTGACAAAGAATTGCTCGCCCGAGTTGTTTGCCCACTGTTCCACGGCCCTCAGGAGTGTGAGAGACGTCCCAGAGTCTGTCCTGACCGCTACCCTCTCCCAGTTTCCAGCCTCCACAGGGTTGGTCAGCCTGAAAAGCGACTCCTGGTAAATGTTTTGTGTCGTCCCCCTGAGTGTACCGGAAGGAGCCAGATAGACATGTTGGCTGCAGGATGGAGCATACACGGAGAGTAATGGGTGTGTTTGGTAGCTCTGCAACAGGGATTCAGAAACTATCGATCCGTAACTGTTAAAAAGTGCGAGAAGAGCCAGGTCATCTTGTCCTTCCTTCTGCCCTAACTCCCTCAGTGGCTGTTGTAGGGTGTAGATGTCATACACACTTGATATGGCCAGGATGGGAGTGTTGACTGAATTGAGGTATCCCTTTGTAAATAGGCAGGCAGGTGACACACAACATGGATAGCCCAACGAGAGATCGTGACACGCTGGCGGTGCGAAATTGAGAATCTTTGCAACTTCCTCGTTGAACTGGAGCACGTGATGACCGGCATAGCTCACAAACCAGCTAGAGTCTAGGACCAATCGAGTAGTGTTGGCTGGCACCATAGCATTGATCCAGTCAAGACTGCTGAGCAAGCCTATTCCACCTGCACTACTTCCAACCAGCATTATGTCGGTGGCATTTCCCAGCCCCAGCTCACAGAGGTCTTCTATCACTGCACGCAGTATGTCCTGGCCTGCATACACGAAATTGTCAGAGTTTTCCAGGTCTGAGCTGTCGAAAGAAAAACCCAAGTCATCGTCAAATCGTTGGGTTGTTTTATTGCCGAGCCATGCATCACTACTGCAGTAAGGCACCAGGACATGCGTGTAGCTGTGAAAAACGGGATTTTTTGTGGGGTCGCTTGATAAGATGTCTTCTCCAACAACACTCGATGTTGAAACTGGAGCCTTCATCTGCTCGGGGTAGTTCAGGTAGCGCTGGTTGCAATCTGAAAAGTTTGAGCAACCTCCACCACCTTCAAAGTATATGACCCAGCCTGACGAGGTTCCTTGGCGCATGAAATATATGGCAGGAGAAAAGTCGTTGCACACTGCCCTTCTATCTCTGGCATGATTGATGTCTCTGTAGTACATAACAAAGACACAGAGTGAAACCCAATCAGGGTCGGGTTGCCTGAGAATATAGCTAGCATCTCTGCACAATTGTATGCCAACTGCTAATCCTGTTTTAGGAGGGTGGTTCTTCCACGAAGCAGTGTTAGCTATTGATACATTAACAAGTGCTGTCTTAGAGCTGGATGCAGCGAGAAATGGACCACAGGTCCGTAAACCCGACACTTTGCCACAGCTAGGTCACGCAGCCTACGAGCCATACCTGCTTTCTAGGTCCGCCCCGTCTGTTTCGGCTGATGCATTGAAAGTGGCTGCAGCCAGGGTGGCGAGAATCCAGGAAAATCTCCAACGAGACTTCATAACTTTTCTTGCTTGCTTTTCTGCGACTGTAAAGTCTGCTCTGTCGCAGAAAAACCGTGATTTTATAGGCACTGTCCAAACAGAGACTCGTGCAACGAGCCACGCCCCCCACTACGCTGCAGACACGTACGTACGTACACGTTTATACGCCGTGCATACATCAGGATGACAACTGCACTGCACACACATCAGGATCACAACCAAGGCACAAATAACAGTAGGTGTTCCTATTCCTCTCTAGGGAAGTGGTTTCTGAGAGCAAGTGTTTGAGGGTTGAAGCAGAGATCCATCATGTGATCCAGTGTGGTGCTCTGCTCCTGCTGCTGCTCTGGGTCCCTCCGTGTGCCTAGAGGGAGGAGCCTTCTCGGACCTCCAGGTGGCAGCAGGGAGGGGACAGACTCGTGGTGGGGATGGCAGGACAAGTGAGACCAGTAAATGTCAAGGAACACACCTACTCGGTGGCTGTACAGGTAAATTGTTACTGTTGGAATGTTGTGTACTTTCACAAATGCCTAAGCAAAGACAGTTTTCACAAAAGTGTTCCCTACCGTGCCTGGTGTTTAGTACATTGTGAGACAGAAGGAAACAACACAAAACATTGTTGTTATCATCACAGGTATGAAGGCTAGTTAGGCTCCATCTATATATTACTCTCTGATTTACATGTCAGCTTTTCTGCAATCAAAAAACGCTGTGTATCACTGGAATGGTGACACCAGGGGGTTGTTAAACCGCAGCGCTGACCCCTCATAGTTTTAGATAGCACGTAACACGTTTAAACAAACACTACTCCTGAGAAAGCCGTGTGGACTAAATGAGGGATGAAATCCCCTGTCAACAGGCAGTGCACGAACAGCAGTAAAATAACACTGAACAACCCACAAGCAGTCTTCAAGGACGTTATATAACTAACAAAATGAACCACTCACTCACAATGAAGAAGACCTTAGAAATGAGGAACGCAATAATAATGCATACATTCTTCAGGGAAGATGAAGAACAAAGATTGAAACCAAGAGAGATAGAGAGAGAGAGAGAGGAGGTAAGCCACAAATCCCACATCAGCTGGAGTGCTCCTAATCTGCACGGTTAGTTAAGCACCAGCCACCCCAGACACCTGAGTCTGCTCCCACAACCCCCACCGCCGCTGCATAGCTCTCCTTATGAAGTCAACTAGAAGGATTTCGCAAGACAGTGCATCAGTAGCAGAGAATGATGCACACCACTTATGGACAAGCCAACTAAAACGACACTTACTACTCCATCTTATGGGCAAGGTGTTTCATGTGGTAGCGTGCAGTTAAGTTGTGGACAACTACTCTAAAACACGGCTGAAATCAATACTGAAACCGTTTGACTACAAAGCAGTGAAGAGGCTAATCGAATCGGAAAGTCTTTAAGGATTACACGCATGCCCCGGTAACCCTCCACCCACAGACATCTAGGAATTGCGAGGAATTGCACATAAAGGTCCTTGATTGGATATGCATGCATGGTTAACCCTGTAGCCACCAGAGAGGATGTGGGGGTTCAGGGTACAACCGCCGCTACCGATTCGGACTCTAACACAATTACCGTCGTCTAGAAATGGGTGGTGTGGGCCAGTCAAAGTCTCTTCATGACTCGTGTGTAATGAGTCGTGCAGTCTACACCCTACCTGGAGTTTCTGCATGCGTGACCCCGCACACTTTCAGTGTCCGCCTATTGTGGTGTTTTGTATGAGACAATGAACTCCTGACTTTCAACGTGCGTAGTTTTCAAGGTTGTGGAATTATGTTAAGGTGAAAGTTGACTTTTTAAGCACAACCTCATTAAAGGTTACATGCTAACTAAGGGTAAAAGTTGCCGAGGATTGATGGTCTGGTAACAAAAAGAGGCACCCTGGCACAGCTCTAAAGATGGGTTCACAATATTGGCGCAAGCCCTTGTATGTATCTATCAGCAATGCTGTACAGAAATGAAGTCGAATTCCAGCATACTTTAAGGTCACAGTACACTACAAAAAACCATCACTTTAGGAGATAATGTTCAAATGGCAATGCACAATTGTGAACAATACTCTCCTTGGGATATATTACAAGATGCTTTCATCGCCTTGTATTGTGCAATTGGAAGGATTTTCGCTGGCTCTTGTCCTGCCCTCAGGAAAGTTCCACCCAAATTTCTGCACACTTTAGGTGGATTTATTACCCTTGTTTGGTGTGAGCCCGACCAGCCCATAATTAGATGCCGGGAGCCTCTTACAGCAGCCCCTGAGTAGCTGCATTAGCATGGTGACCCCTAACGTGTAGTTGTGATGTGGCTAGACAGCGAGTGAGTCGTGCAGTTTCCGGTTAATTGACTCTGGACTTTCGACTGAGTCCTGTGGCTCTTACGAAATACGAACTCAATTAACCGTCCCACCTCCCCCTCCATGGAACCCTTAATACATCAAGCACTAGTTTATGACGGGGAGTGTGACGTAACGTGTCACAGAAGATTGATCACATGCCTGCAGCGCATTCCGCGACACTGTAATGACACGTGCACACACAGTGTACTTTGCAAATGTTCACGTGCATGGACCGAAGGTAGGATTGTATTTTTGTTGCAACCTGCATGAGTTAAACGCATATTTGGGTGTATTTTCACCAAAATCGGTGATCTTTAATCTGGCACTTATATTGTATAGCACATACTGCACAGCATACTCTAGCTATAGTCCAGGTATTCAGGATTGTTTTGTTTCCCTCCCACTTATTTGCTAAAAGTACAGGCCACCCCATTTCATGGTCACACATAATTATTTCCACTGCATTTTCCAGCTAAAGTCCAAGTATTCAGAATTTTTGGTTAGCCTTTCCTCCACCCCACTTGCTTGCTAAAAGTACGAAAACTTTAGGCCACCATTTTAACCATATATTATCTATCTCACAGCATGCTCTACACAAAAGGGTAGGATACGAGTTCAGAAAACCCTTGGTAGTTCTGATCCACAGGGACACACTGAGACTCAACTGCTGCAGCTCTGTTGAACGGAACACCTTCAAGATACCCCTGCACAGCAGAATGTGTTGAAAAGGTTTCATTTTGCAGAGAGTTACTGCAATGAGAGACCACTGATGGTGAAACCGGAAGGAGCTAACCTCAACTGGGTTGATCTTGAGTCCTCCACATCCTGACGCTCTTCCTCCCTCTCTCCTCACCCTCCTGCCCTCCACTCTATAGCGGGAGGACGAGAGAGAGTGGGCCAGCCACATTCTCTCCAGAGCTCCACCAGCCGGTCTAAACCCTGGCCGACGCCCTCCGGCATTCTCCCCATCTTCCTCCTCTCCTCCTTCACGGCTCAGTGCAATACCTCTCACTCCTCGCTCGGTGGTAGCGCAGCTGTTCAGGTCTTGCTCAATCCCTGAAGGAAACACAGACACACATACACACATTTGTACCTGCTTCTAGACACATTTGAGAAATTTGCAAGTCTCTCAAGCTACAGCTCGCCTATTGTAATTAGTAATAGCGCAACGTTGGAGAGCCATATAGAGGATATTCCCACAAAAGGTTTCCTGTTGCAAAAATGTTCACACTACTAAGAGTATTAGCATGAGGTATGCTAATCATAAAGTTCAAGGCTTAAGTACATAGCAATCTCAAAGCCTGTGACAGTACACATACTGTACCTGGCTCACTGTGTAGCTGCATATTGTGACTCATTCCAAACTGTCTCGAATCCTCTTGTTCCTGCTCTCCCTCCTCGTACAGTGAGAAGAGTGAGTGTTGGTCTCTGCCAGTCGCCCACTGTCCCCCTCCCTCCACAGTGTACGGGTGGTCTTTGAGAGGTGTTCTACCGTGAAGAGTTAGAGAGGTCTCCTCGACTGGTAGCTCAGGACGATGGGGAGAGGACGGCACCTCTTGAGCTGAGACACCCAGTAATCCACTACTGTGTGAAAATGAGATTAGTATACTAGCTGTATTTGAATGGTAAGAGAGAAGAAAAAGTTGTGAGAATATACCCAGACAAAAGGTTTTGAGTTATCGAAGCATCCAAAGGGCAAAACTCCTTTTCACCCCCCATGGTAAGGAAAAGCATTGACAAAAATTTCTGACCAGCTGCCCATTATGTATGGTGCTATGTACATCGCCGCATACTGTACCTCCTTAACTCATGCAGTGCATATATATGCTTGGTTATGAAGAAAGAAGGCGAAAGAGGAGGAGGAAGAAAAAGAAGAGAGTTATAGAGAGAGACAGCAGACCCGTCCAGGTCACAGAGTCTCTGTTTGTGGTGCAGGTGTGCCAGATGTTCGTGAACATTACTCCTGTAGTCGTCCCTCACTGAAACCCTCCTCTTACTCTCCATTCTCACACCCTCACTGTAAAAATACGACATACAATCCCACTCACTGAAGAATGAAGTGTGTGTAGACACAATGCTGCAATTGATGGATTATATATATATGTACACAGGCAAGAGAGAGAGAAACGTTTTCCTGTACAATAGAGCTTCTAGATACCATCTACATAATTATACTTAGCCAAACAAAATAATGCTACATGCACACACCAAGCAACAATAAATGTATGTGCATAATAAGCAAGGGAGAAAAAAGCGACCCTGCTTCCTTGGTGACTGCATACTACCTTTGGATGCTCTTGCGTTTGCGGCAGAGCTGGGCAGGTGTGGGGAGGGAGGAGAGAGACGGAGGTGGAGTAGAGACCAGCAGTCTCTCCATGTAGTCCAGCTGGGCCCTCTTCCCCCCGTCTCCCACAACCATCTCCGGCATACGGCGCACCCTGTACGGCTGTTCGTGCCTGCGACCCTCAAGGAACTCTTCTCTGGGTCCCTTCCTCTCCCCACTGGTCTCTGGTGGTCCCGACTGCAGACCACTAGGTTCTGTTGCCGCCGTTGTTTCTCTCTGTACTACCTCACCACCTCGTCTTACTGTGAGAGACCTCCTGCGGAACACGGCTTTATGAGTCGTTCTAAAAGAGGCAAGAGTCCACTCACTTTCCAAAAGGCAGAGCTGCCATTCCAAGTAGCCTGCTGCTGACCGACGACTTTATGAATTCAATTTTCGCGCCAGTTACGTAGTGGGCGTGGCTAGGTGTGCTCCAATTAAACCTCTTCGACTGCGAGAAAACAGTATGGCTGCAGTTTTACGAAGAGGAATGCTCAGCTCCCAGAGGTTCTCCCGCCTTGTGAGTCCATCAGGATATTCCATACTACTTTTACTTTGTTATATCCTTGACCAAAGTCTCTTTTCACGTTAAAACACTTTTTATACGGTACCTACACAGCTCGGGCGGGTGCTAGGGAGCCAGCGAGATGCCAGCAGTCTCGTGATAGCCGAACACAACGGTGAGAGCGTGGTCCCGCTCACCTACAACGCCATAGCCGCGGCAAGACAACTGGGGGGAGACATAACAGCTCTGGTCGCTGGACCAGACTGTGGAAAGGTTGTCTATGATGCCACGATGATGTAATAATATAAACGTAATGGGGTGTTGGTGCATATACAGGTGGCTGATACACTAGCGCAGAGTGAGGGGGTGTCAAAGTTACTTGTGGCACAGCACGATGCATTCAAAGGCTATCTACCAGGTATACACTGCAGTATATTTCATCCACCACAACACGAGCGAGTAGTCTACGTTTGGTTTGGTTCAACGTTGACTATGTGTCTGACCTTAGCCACATAGATATCTACAGGAATGACACGGAGCGAGTGTGTGTGTGTGTAGTTCTAACTGCCTGTCCATGTCCACGCAGAGGCACTGACTCCTCTGATTCTCGAGGCTCAGAAACAGTTCAACTTCTCACATATTCTGACAGGAGCTGGGGCCTTTGGAAAGGTACATACATACATTATACCTGTTGCAGAAAACCTTCAAAGGAGACTTGTGAGCAACCTCTGAAAGATGTATACACAAAACGTATACACAGTGACTTTTCGCCATGCAAAGCAAGCAATTATTTCCCCCACCAAATCCTTATTTCTTTCCCCCTATAATATGCTACCACAGTACAACATAGTCTTAGCAATAATTTATGTACTATCATAGAGCCTCATTCCAAGAGTGGCAGCCAAACTGGATGTATCGGCTATCTCTGACATCATTGGAGTGAAGAGTGAGGACACGTTTGTCCGGACCATCTATGCCGGGAATGCCGTTCAGACCGTCCAGTCTGGGGACTCTGTCAAACTCATCACGGTTCGTGGAACTGCCTTCGCTGCCTCTCCTGAGACCGGAGGCAGTGCTACCAGAGAGGATGGTAATAACTGCGGGGAACCCCTCTAATCCAGACACCAATGGGACAGTAGATTTTACTGCACAGTAATGCTTCACAGCGGAACCCCTCTAATCCAGACACAAATGGGACAGTAGAAAGTGTCCATATTAGTGAGGTGTCCGTTTTCATAGAGCCCCTGAGAAAGGTTTCACTGAATGGGATCACACTGTGTTAGCAACACACATGTGTAAGAACTAACATTTCATTCACTAAACTTATAAAGAGCAACAACGTGTTCATTTTACTGCGCTGTTATTGAGTATTTCTTGCCTGCAGTGTTGCTAGTGCCAAAATTAGACCAACCAGTTTTCCTTCTTTGCAGAAAAGGCTTCCAAGAAATGTTGAATTTAGCTTTGCTGTATGTAGCTAACACACTACCAATGTCATTTGGTACATATTTCCTACAATATCGCTGCAATAGTTGGTAATATTGCTGTCTGGAATAGTTGCTAATATTGCCCCAAGAGTTGATATAACATCTAATATTGCTGCTTTAGTTGATACAACATCTAATATTGCTGCGATAGTTGGAGTTCCAGAACTGGGGCAAGTGGGGACCGAGTTTGTGAGCCAAGAGCTGAGTAAGAGTGACAGACCGGAGCTGACAGCTGCCAAGACCGTCATCTCCGGAGGTCACCTCCTCCTGCTATATAGCTAATGTTGTAAAGTGATGTTGTGGCTCTGTGCTGTAAACAGGGATGTCCCTATATAGTGCCTGGTTTGATCCTCGCCACTGCCTCCTCTCTTTACGAAAAACATTGTGTGTTTGTTGCACTAGTGACGTATATCTGGGTCTTTCAGGCACCAATGAGTTGTGATACACACTACTCTGTGTGGGTATCTGCAGCCTTTCTATAATTCCCTAATTAGCACGTAACGCTGTTTGTTTGCCGGCTTGTCCAAATGAGCACTGTCTCCAATTTTAAGTGGATTGTGAGGCATTATAATATTATGTTTTCCCAACCATGAGCTGCTATTGCGTGCCTCTCACCATATATTGCACTGACCTTTCCACTTACAAAGTACACCATACATGATATGGAGAGAAGCTGTAGACACTCAATTACTTTGTAAGTGGGTTATGGCAGATTTTTAGTGTCTGTCTGCAGCCTCTCCATATATTGCTCTCATCTGTACCCTAATCCATAATTAACTCTGCCCCTCCAATTCTCCCTTATATTTATGTGCACATGGATTGTTGTTGTTGGCCTGCAGCCAACCACTACTTGGATTGCCAATGCCAACACATTGAAATTGTGTCTTTGAATGTGAAGTAAAATAGGTGATGATTCCTGTAGGTCGAGGAATGAAAAACGGAGAGAATTTCAAACTTCTATACGACCTTGCCGATAAGCTAAATGCTGCAGGTACAGTTCACACAATCTACAGAGCTACAGCACCATTCACTGCTAGAATAGGGAATAGACTTGATCAAAAAGCAGGCAACTATTTTTGAGATGTGTAATGGTTTATTGTACTATGGTGCATCAAGAATACCAAAAAAATGTGCTTTACTGTGGTATGTATGCAGTTTGTTCGGGTTTGTTCATTAAGAATATCAAAATGGGTTTTTATTACTGTATGCAGTTGGTGCATCGAGAGCGGCGGTGGATGCTGGGTTTGTACCCAACGACATGCAGATAGGGCAGACTGGGAAGATTGTCGCTCCAGTGAGCCGGTCACTGTGTGTGTGTCTATGTACCGTATTCCCACTAATTGTAACTTGATGAATGTAATCACCAGTCATTCCGTACCGTAGAGGTCTTAGACTGCATGGAATACAGTGGACTGTCTGTCGCACTGAAATGACAGGTTTTATATAGTATTCGGGTGCACGATATGATATTGCCGATTTCATTTCGTGACACAGGAACTCTATATTGCAGTGGGCATATCGGGAGCCATTCAGCACTTGGCTGGAATGAAGGATAGCAAGGTCGGTATTGAATAAACCCATTCAGACTGTCCATTAAAGGTCCTGCATTTGCCTGACCTTCAGCGATATGTATGTACATTCATGTTGCAATGCATCCACACACGTGTTCCTCTTACACAAATTTCCCCGTTTTGGTTTGCTAACAATCATTACCTGTTGTATCCTGCCATAATAAACATTCGCACGACCTCTACGTTCGTATTAGGTCATAGTGGCAATAAACAAGGACCCAGATGCGCCAATATTTCAAGGTCAGTCACAATCTCAAGGGTAATAATATAGAGAAAGAGTGTAATATTACGTCGACAAACATGTTTTGTTACAGTTGCAGATTTTGGACTAGTTGCAGATCTTTTCAAGGTATTACCATAGGTATTGTGTTGTGTTTGTCAACCTCCTCTTCCTTCCTGTATGTGTGTAGTTGAATAATTGCTTTGCAATGCATTTGCCTTAAAACTCAAAACCCCGTGATTCAAGCAAGATATTGTGGAATGGTATATCTGGCAATGCAGGCTGTTCCAGAATTGACTGAGAAACTCTGACACAATTGATACCGCACCATAGTGTAACATTATTTTGCTTGTTTACAATGCAACACACTTCTGTAGCTTGGTTCAAATAAGGGTGATTAACTAATGCACTGAAGTAAAAAAACGTCCAGCAAATTTACAGTGCAGCACACTTCTAAAGTTTGGTTCATTAGCCGTAACCAGGAAGGAAAGCCTGCAGGCATAGCATGCAAGTAGTATGGTTTATGTATTGACCTTGGAGCCTAGGCAGTGGGCTAGGAATGCAGCAGGAGTTCCTGTGGACATGCAACGGTGAGATGAACAGCTACTGAGCGTGGGACTCTTCAATCAATTAGAGCTTGTTATAACAGTCTGTTGTAGAGATGGTGAAACAATTCAAGATCATTGTGGAGCCTCCTCGTTCACCCAGGGGCTACCTCACAGGGACTACCATGTCCGGACACCTACTGGTCGAGACCCAAGAGCAAAAGAACTACAAACACATCGACGTGTCGTTTGTCGGAGTTGGCCTGGTGGAACAGAGTGGTCCCAGCGGCACAGCTAGTAGGGGGAAAGAAGAGTACGTTCGTAAGACGGTGACAGTTTGGCAAGGCGACGAAGGAACGGTACTATCTGCCGGAGTTAGAAAGTTTCCTTTCTCGTTTACCATCCCCGAGACTTGCCCGCCGTCTCTAGAGCTAGGGAGCTGGTTCAAGGATGGGTACACGGCCAAGATAAAGTACTTGCTGGTGGGACATATAGCCGCAAGGGGGGTGCTGAAGCAAAACCACACCACCGAGACAATGGTGACTGTTGTGCAGGAGCTTCAAGCCGAGAGCAAACCAGTGAGGCACACGACACGGAGCCAGCAAGGTCTCCTGAGCTTTGCCTCCAAGAGATCTGAGGTTCTCACTGCCGAGTTGCCACGCTCGACGTTTGCAGTGGGAGAGAGGATCCCTATCAGGGTCCAGCTGGAGAATTGCAGGAGGATTCGGACAATTGACACTGAGACTGTTTTGGAGAAAACAGTCGCTTTAAAAACGGGTGGAACCGTCTTCGAGAAACCGTCCCTGACTGTTGTAAAGGCTGTGAGTGCCATATCGGCAGGCACATGGAGTTTAGAGGTTCCTGCCGTGCCCAGGAAGCAGGTGACAGTCCAGGCAACAGCTCTGAGTGTGACCTATGAAGTGAAGGTAAAGTTCAGTCTAGGGTTAGCTCAGAGACTGGAAGTCCGCTTCCCTGTTGTGATTGGACAGTTTATTGCAGAGTAAAAGCACACACCTGCCATTTACATACCTACTACCGACCCGCAACCTTTGCAGAAACGTGCATGCGCGAGCGATAAACAATGCGCATGCGCATATATAAAAGGGTGTGGCCGGAAAAGATGGTGAAAGTGTTCGAGATCGTTTTGGACGATCCTCCGTCTCCAAGAGGCTTTCTCTCCGGCTCCAAACTGACAGGAAAGGCGGTGGTACAGATCGACGAAGGGGAAGAGCTATAGACTTATCGAAGTAGCGCTATCGGGCTCTGGAAAGGTGAAGTGGACGGAGGGATACGGGGAAGAGAGCGAGACGCACAGATCCACGGACGATTACGTGAACCAGAGTGTCACTCTATGGGGGGAAGAGCTTAAGAATGAACTCGGCAATGGCACGCTTCTGGCTGGGCGGCACGAGTTCCCGTTCGCGTTCTCAATCCCCGGGTCTTGTCCACCATCGTGGGAGGCGGGGCTGGGGGCGTCGAGTGGCGCGGACGCCTGGGTTCGCTACGTCCTTACCGGACGGATAACCACGCGAGGGGCACTAAAGGCGGACCACACTACCGAACAGCGGGTAAGAATCGCGAGAGAGGTTAGAGTGGCACCCACAGCCTCTGAACCAGTGCGGCACGAGGTTCAGGGTTCCGAATGTTGCCTCTGCTGCGTATCGGGGCCCGTAGTGTTAGCCGCCGAGCTACCTAGCTCCAGTTTCACGGTGGGAGAGAGAGTACAACTCAGCACGGAGGTGGAGAACGGGAGCTCACGTGATCTCATACCCGAAGCGGTCCTGGTCAAGCTAGTGAAGCTGAAAGCAGGTGGGAACGTAAAGAAAGTGACAGAGACAGTCGTGAAAGAGACTGGCAACCTCATCAGAGGAGGTTCAACGGTCGGTTGGTGTCCAGAGATGCCAGGACTGCCAGACAGCGGACATGCTACCATGGAAACACCAGGAGGAATGATCGCAGTGGCCTATGAAGTCAGGGTTCGTGTGGGTCTTTGGTTGGGGCAGAGACTCGAAGTCATTTTTCCTGTCCTCATTGGTACCACACGACCTCCATAGACTGCCATTCACATGTCAGATAATTTCAAGCCATAGCATTTTTATCCCACACAATTGTATATTATTTCAGCTATTGCTTTTGCAGCCCATAGCATCAGCATTTTCCATGACCACCAAAATTCTTTTTTAATTTTATTATACACTGCGACTTCACCGCACTCTTGATTGTTAGCAGTATAGATAGATGAGAAAATAATTTATTTTGAGTTGAGAATTTATAGCATCAGTTTCTGATGCGAAAGACACTGAATGACACAGAGAAACGTAACTGAACAAAAGCACACAAATCCACGTGCACACACACCACACACAGAGTAACATATACACAGCTACATTGACACGTTTCCAATAATGACAGGTATTTCCACACACAACTTGGGTCTCCACTGCGACTTCGCAGTGACCTGTACGCAGTAGCTGACGTTGATAACGTCTGATTTGAGGCTGGGATCCGTGCGCGGGATCTTCAGACTCGGCGCCCACAATACCGTGGTCCCGTTCTGCGAGGGCTTACACGACTTGAGAGCGACTTTCGCAACTTTCTCGGCGTCGATCGTCAGTGCTCCGTGGACACCGGCCGTCGCACGGCGGACGAGACGCGCGGTGAGGCTGATGCGACTTTTGCAGCCATCCACGCCGATTGTGAGCGGCACGTCTTCTTCCAGCTTGAACCCGGTTCGCGGGAGCTCCACGTTCAGTTCCATGGACGTGTTGGCAAAGTAAAAGAGAGACTGGTCCACCTTGTGCATCCCGTGCGCCGGATTCTGGAGGTCCGGCTGTTTGCAGTTGACCAGCTCGACTATCCGCAGCGCCTTTTCAACGACGCCGCCGCTCTGCAGCTTCCCCGACTTGATCTTTCCGTAGAGTCTGTACTTGATCTTCCCGCAGTCTCCCTCGTTCTCCAGACTGGGCGGAATGTCGTTGGGGAGCGTGAAGGAGAAAGGGAGGACGTGCCGACCTTCGGGCAGCGTCCCGAAAGACTCTGTCTCCGGCTTGCTCCACGCGGTCGTCGAGTCCTCCATGAACTGTTTCTTTGCCGAGAAGGTCTCAGATAGAACCTCTACCCAGCCGACGAGGGATACTTGGACGCTAAGGAGCTTCTTGGGTCTCGCTAGTTCAAGTACTACGGCTCCGTTGACTGTCTCTCCGGGAAGAAACACGTGCGCCCCTTCCTCCAATTCCAACTTGAAACTCTTGGGCATTTTCGGTAGGTCTTATCTTTAGGTAGGATCAGCTAGATTATGGTAGCTAAGTAAGTGCACTCACTGGCGTCTCTTTCGTTGAATCGCTGCAAGGCGAGCGTTCTGCGTTATAAAGAGCTAGCTAGCCCTGCATGCCGTGGCCGGCCATGCGCGGAAACGACCGCGTGACGTAAAAATTTCCGCCTGGAAACCGTATTACCGGGATATCCGGTTCAAAGCGCCCACCTAGGAATGTTCTATATATAATTATACCTGATATTTTTAATACTCTAGCATGTATTATAGAAGATAGAACCAAAAATGCACTAAACTTTACAACTTCGAAAAAAGGGGTCATGTCAAAAGTTTTTCGTAGTGTTTTTTCAAGGGCACCACTCAACTTGGAGGGGTAATTCCGTTCCATTCGGTGGTACAGAAACTGGGCCCATCAGGTGGCTCGGCAGGTATTCCTCGGCTAAACAGAGTAAAAACCAAAACTTTTTTAAAACACCAATCCGTGTTACAAACTCTATTAAACTTGTTTATACTTCCGTTCCAACTTTTGCATATTATACTGGCAAATTAAGACTCCTACAAAAGGTGTCAATTATCCTAAGTGTTAACGTGGACCCAAGATGACTTCCAGATGTACCATTAGCCTTATACTTTCCAACAGCATGCCAACTAGACCATCTCGCATGCCAATAACACCGTACCCTGTCCCCATCCTAACTCTGAAATGCCCTCGGCCTTATTATAATAACTTTGTATAAATTTTCTCTGCTATGCTGCATGCTGTGGTGGGATATTCAAATGATGTAACTAACCTTACAGCTCCTGGTACAACAATCTATTAAAGACTATTTCACAGCAGGTATTAAGTTGAGGTGAGCCAATGAACTTGTCTTATTGACATTAACATAGGACCCTGTCAAAAGTGTCCCTGCTAGTGGTGGGATGCGCTGGGAATCAACTATTAACTTAACCGTACAGTTTCTAGTACACCAATCTTTGCAGAGAGACCATATTTCACCGTGGGTATTAATAGTTGAGGTGAGCCAGTGAACTCACATCTTAATAACTTACACTACTGCAGTGGGATGAGTTGAGACCTTACCTTACTTACATACAGAAAGACTAATTGCACTGCAGGTATTAAGTTGAGGTACTAAACTCATGTTGAAATATACAGGGGTGCTTCCTTTAATCGGTTCGATCAGACAACTATGCTCAGAGAGTTTAGTCACCTCTTGCCCTCTTTGAATGTTAACGCATTCCCGAGTCCCAATTAACTCGATACTCTTGCCTTCTGCTACATACAGTACTCGTGTAGAACACTAACCTCTGGTAAAAATGAGTGTTCAACTACACTGGTGTAGACAATCCTATCCGAATAGCAATTTTAGCAGACGCTCCTGCAAAATTGCTTTTCAAATTCCAACAGACTAACGGACAACATAATTACGTTGGAACTAAATCAGAGAGACTGGGCGCCGCAGATCTTGACATCATTACACACTTGAGCAGTTGCAATGAAAACTGATGAAATGCCAGCTCACAGTGCAAGTTACAGTAGATATATACCGTTACAATACACCTTCAAAGGCCACGCTAGCGTGGAGAATACCAGCATATTATTATACAGGTACATAATGGACTTCTGAGGTATTATAGTAAAAGTATGGGGTATATAGAAGCAAGTGTCCTATATAGAGTTGTGTCCTGCATTCAGCGGGTCCCTTTTCAGAGATTTCACTCTTGATGTAAAGCAGGTGTAGGTACGTTCAAGACTAGACAATTGACATGCAGATTCGACCTTCTTTTGTTAAGAGTCTCATGCACCATGCAAAGGTTATCACACTAGGGACGACCAGGTCATGAATATTATTATACCTGGCTGCATGCTACCTAAACTATTAAGCCCAGCTGATAGACTATCACATACAATAGGTATATACATATACAATCATGACATACTCAAATAAAAGAAGCTGCTAATTTTTTAGTGCATAGCAGGTCCTCAGCCTATTGATGAAGGCTCATTACTATGTACACCCAAAGTAACTGTCAGTGAACCTTATCCATTTTTCAATAATTTCGTCAATTGTGCCATTACAAGGTTCACAAATAGCTTTGATCTGATTCCCAAACTACATGTAAACACTACTGCCTAGCCGATTCCTAGTTTGTTACGTAGCGGTCAATAAGCAGTGAAAATATCCTCACTTGAGTGTTTTCCGCTACAACGGTACTTAACTATACCCACCTGATCATTATATTTCTGCCTATTACCTGCTCATTACAATTCCGACCAATATTTCAGACCAATACCTGAGCATTCTGCATCGGAAGTTGTGGAGTCTCACACCAGCATCGTTGACATCTGTGACAGAAGCAGGGCTCCACAGCCTCTCCCCCACAGCCCCTGCTCTTGGCCAATAGCTAGAGAATGGTGAGAGAGAGAGAGGGGAGAGAGGGAGAAGGAGAGAGGGGGGAGGGAAGCAGGATAAGAGATGGGGGAGGAGAGAGAAAGTGAGAGAGGAAAGAGGGAGAGGGAAGAGGGAGGGAGGTTTCCCGGGGAAGGGCTTATCTTCAGTTTCCAGGTGTCACACAAGAAGGGAAAAGAACAGACACCCTTTGAAATCCTTCACCGCCCCCCAAACCATAGAACATACGTATTGAGTAGGGTCATCGCCAATGGATCAATCAATGTTTACTTTCGCTACTAAACCGCGCGTTATCTTACTAAATCTAACTGTCGGGGAACACTGGTATCGTATTATGCTAGTGTCTGACCGCAGCAAAACAGCAAACAGCTGATGCATTATGTCATGTGAACTCAGTCCAGCACTAGGGCAAAGGACCTCCACTTCACCTGGATCTTGTGACAAAATGAACGAACTTTGAATTGCGGTTACTCGATCCTGCTATAATGGCAGTATACTCTTTCAGCATAAGTACACATGTAGCATTGGGAGCAACGCCGAACGCACTCGATACTTGTATAAAACATCTAATTCCTCAAAACAGGTACGTAGGTTATGTGTCGATAATTACTTTCCACGTGGAAATGGTTCATCGGTAAGAGGTTTTGCTGAAGTCGATGTCAGGGAGGCAGAAAGAGAGCACAGAGGCCAGAGCCAGAGTGTCAAACCAGGAGCAAGGTGTCCAGTGTATTGTCAGTACGTATGTAGCTATAGGCATGTTTCTCACACTGCAGACATGTTTCTCACACCGTAGTAAGGGTCATGCTGGAGTACATAAGTGGTGCACTGTTAATACTACAACAGTTTAGTAGCTTAGGCAGATGTAGCTCTATATGTTCGCAGAGCTACGTATATGAGCTGGGGAGTGCATAATTATTATACCATTATTGCATCTGGGGAGCTGCAGGGTGTCGCTGGTGGAAGGGGTGAGTTGAGGTGTCTGGGAGGTGAGACAGACACCTCATGTTCATATGGTGTATGTTCGTGTGTTAACGGTTCCGCCCATTGCTCTGGGTGCGTGGTCTATGGCCCTAGTGCTATGGCAGCCACCTGAGTATTATTATCATTATATGAAGGATGTATCTCTTAAATGAGAATGTGAAGCAAGGATAAAGATACTGCCACAGACACCACAAACAGCCATAACACAGCCGCATTCACTCAAGCGAGGACACATTAAAGGAGCTACAGCACATGTTGCGGCTACCAGTCAAAACTACACTGTTGTACGTGTAATAAAAAGTCATAATCCTGTCTCTCCACTCTCTGGTTTTTTTCATGCAGTCGGCTGTTTGTGTTAGAGGTTCTAATTTTGATCCCTGATACTGCATCAGCCACAACATAAGTCGCCATGAGCAACGAACCACAATGTCAAAGCCACGGACAAAGACAACTACGATGTCCATAGGTAGTCACTTTAAAAATCCCCAGGGACATCCTCCACGGAAATCGCCTTAAACTTATAAGCTACTATCCTCTAGTGGAAGGTGGATATGGATACTTTCCACTTCCTCTAACACTTTACCTTACAGTTGGTAATGTATGTACCTTATAGTGGTAGAGCTGCAGTAGGGTTGAGTCAGCTTTGTGGCATGCACAGGAAGGAATTTAATGCTGTCACATTACGTTGCGAGGACCACCGGTGCTATGGCAGTGATACCGCGATATGTAGGGGAGGAAACCAGTGACATCAGATGACATCAGGTGACATCACGGCTCATAGTGCAACGGTGAGTGAGTGTTCGAGACATGCCTGTATGTAACGGATTCTCTTATCGGAGAGTGTGTCACGTGACATCACGGCACACTGAGACGGCAAGACGAGTCGCAAAGATATAAGATCACCAGTCTAAGAAGTAACAGAAGGAGGGAAGGGGTGAATGCCACACGTCCGCTCCCAAAGCACCATACAATGTGTGCGTCATCAACGAGGTCATGGCAAAGCCACACAACACAATTACAAAAAAGAGGTACCCTCCTAGCTAGGTAGGATTCGAATCCACGACACTGCACATAAGGCAAGCACTCTACCAGCTGAGCTATACTCAGCAGGTAGGGGTTCAAATCTACAAAGGCAAACTTCAAACAAATAACCTTGTCTTGAACCCAGATTCTTTGTATGACATTACGAGGGGAAACAATGGAAAATGAAGGACAATCAGAAATTGGTATAATATACGTATGTAGGTGTATGTATGCAGGTAAGAAGTGACCACTTCTGCGTCCATAGCATTACACATTATACTTAGTGTGCACTGATAGTCACACTTACATGGTATGAACACAGATTGAGATACGCCAACATTGACTGTATATACACAATGCATAGAATTGTGTGAGAGCAAATGCCGACAAGCTACTTACGACTGAGATTACGACGAGCAAGAATGCATAGCCACGTACTAATTAGTCCCATGTGTGTGTTTCAAGGCAGTAAACACCTAATGTTGCATGATGCTTCGAGTAAATGCTGCATGCACTTTAAGAATGACTTGCTACGAGTTAGTTAAGTACTTATGTATATGTACTAAACTCTACATCCCCATGAGCTTTAGTTCCACCGCATAAATTCTTAATGGACCGTAGATGATGGAGTCACAAGACCAGATATTCTCCGATTCGCCCACTCCCCCTTCCGCTCCTTGAAAAGAGCTTCACATTGCCAGCCGGTAGGTACGTAGTAAACCCTGAGCCCTCTTCACGGCACAAGCCTCTGACAACTTGCAATGTGTAGGAGGAAGCTATAGTGAAGCCGGCAGTATAACTATACCGTCCTTTGTACAGATTAAGAGGATTGTCACATAGTTACGTATGAGGGCAAATCCCCATCATCCATGGGCCAAGGAGGATTTCGTGTGTGTGTGTGTGTGCGTGTTGCCCCGTAAGCCCTGCAGGCAAGCCCGGTAGTCATGTGTTGTAAGGTCCTATAGAACTGTGCAGCTTCTTCCTCAGTGGTATGGCTTGGTAGTAGGTACATACATCCTTCGTAAGAGTTTGCTGAACTCCGGCTGTTATGATACATGTAGCACAAGATGTGTTGCATCACATAACAGAATGGGGAATTTTATTAGGGCAGTCAGTTAAAAAAACAAGTATATAGTGTTCTTGGGAATTAGGAAATAACTATTCTGTCGTTTTAGGTGCACATTGACATGCATACCTGCATACTCAACCACGTGTATATAGTACAGTGCAAAGGTCACCTCTCTATAAATGATATGTTGGTGGATGACTATTTGTATATACATCTGACTAAAAGATGGCTCTGAATAAATGACACTTTCAATGTTCCCAAGGTGCCCTTATTCAGAGGTTTCGAAGTGCATATTGCTAATGGGTGGTTCCTGAATATCGGTACAAATGCATGTTTACAACATTTCGCTCTGCTAAACACAAAACTCACCACTTTCAAAAAACATATGCAATCGTTTGTGCGTTTGCATATCGCTGAGTCGAGTTTATCTTTGCCATTCACATGACCAACACAACTATGTAAAGCAACACCTATGTACATAGCTAGTATGTATATACAGAGTGAAAAGTGTGGCAAGGTTTCCTAATAGATAGTGATGCACAGGATATATAGTGTGGTGGGAACCAGGAAATGATTGACACGTGGGGAAATGCACTGGGCCTGGCCTAGGAAACATGGACAGGCAGCACAGTCCTAACGATAGGGGCTACCTCATCACCCGCTAATCATGTAGGAACTACAATCACGGCTGACCAGTGGAATGTACGTAGGAAATTGGGAGTGTAATGAACAATTATACAGTCAGCTTTGAAGAGTAAACAGATTGAGAGGTAGTGAGCTGGATAAATAGGTAACTGCATATCTCACAAATTGGTAAGGTTTTAAAACAGCCGGGTTTTTAATTGGTCCCCAGCATAATTATATACACCTTTATTCCACGGTACACACACTACTGTCATAATAATTATTATGGCAGAGTGGTTTTGGAAGATACCAGTTAGATATTGCTTGATTGTATTTTTGTGGCTAATGGGTGAGCAGAGCGAGTCTGTGTACATCTTTAGTATTTCTGGACGGTACTGTCACACATACCATAACGTGTTTTACGTGCTTCTAAATACTCGTTAAACCGTGTTTGAACTCGTGTTCCTGTGCCAAAAATGTGTTTTGTTTGTTTTACATAGTTGGCGAGTGAAGCGAGTGGTCTGAATGCGGGCTTTTTCACTGTATGTTGTGACTGGCACCGCACTGCACAAACCTGCACAAACTGTAATATTACACGTGATTTTAAATACACCCGCGAAAAATTGAACTGCCAGCTTCCGCTTGCCAAAAATGTGTTGTGATAGGTGCTGCAATCAGTGCATGCAATCAGTAGTGACCTTGTGACCTTGATTATAGTAGGGTGGCTGCATCACAAAGGCTTTACTATCACTCTGAGATCTAATACACTTGTGGTGCAGTGGAGGGGTGCCTAGTAATTAACAGCCCTTACAGAAACAAACCAACCTCCTCAAAACAACCTCCTTGTTATGATGTATTGTATGTCATTTGATGGTCAGGTAATACAATTTTAACTGCCCCTATATACACCTCTATGTTATGCTGAAACCCAGATGGCGTATACCACACTTGACCACCCTTCAATACACTGGCTCACTTTCGCATCATCATTATTCTTTTATCGTCGTACGGATTTGGGCATATTTAGACTGACACTGCGTATGATATACGGTCTAAAGGTAGGCTAGTGAAGCAAGCTCACTCACTCTTCCAAATCGCAAGATATTTCACCGGGACAGTGTGGTTTGCAGCTGACAACAGACAGACAGTTTCAGCTCTATGGATCTGCCTGCTTTTTCACTGCCAAAAATGTGTTGCATTCCACCTAATAAGTAGAAACTTCCTGGTGAGCAGGGCTCTATGTAAATTTCCTCATCTGTAATCATCCACCCTATCTGCCTGCCAGCCCCATGAACTCAGGATGAAGTCAGTCAACTCTACACTAGGTGATCATGACAAATTGCACCGGTCTCAGGTTTTCCAGAGAGTGGGCTGAGAGGTATACCCTTGGCACATGGTGCAGTGGATGTGTCCTCTAGCACTTCGAGGCCAGAATAAGTCAGTCACCTCACACATACTGTAGCAGGAGATTGCGACAGACACGAAGGTGTCATTTTCCAGAGAGTGGGCTCTAGTTAAACCCTTAGCAGATGGTACAGTGGATTTGTCTACCTGCCAAGCTCTTTGAGGCCAGAATGAAGTCAGACAAGGAAGGCTGTAGCCCCTGTAAACCTTGCTACACGGTGCAGTGGATGTTTTCCAGTACACTATACTGCCACTACGTAGCTCTATGATGCAAGAATGAAGTCAGTCAATACCCTATACTGCCACTGGGGTAGGGAAGAATCTTTGAACACCCAGCCTCCCCCCCCCTGCCGCCCAAACAATGTCGTGCGTGTGGATTATTACCGTGTCAAGAAGTTGGTAGAATCGACAAATTCCCCCCAAAGACAGCAGTGACCACCGACAACCAGCTCCTGCTCCTCTTTAGTCCCTGCAACACCGAGACAGTCACATACCTAACACACTCACAGAGTAAAGGCTTAGAGCTATGGAGAGCCATTCATACATTATACCCCACATGTTATCGCTGATGGCAACTTGGTTGATTTTAAGCACAACCAAGCCGTTTTTTTCGCTGTAATTGACAGTTTAGCTGCTGCACCTGTATCTGCAGATATTGTGATTTTCGTGCCGACAACAACAACAACAAACATACGTACAAACCGATCACATGACCCCTTGAGCATGCACGCAGGGGTTAACAGCAGACGAGAATGATAGCAGGGCTTGCTTTTTCCGGCAAGAGGACCACAGACAGGTGTGAAGCATGTAAGAATTTGAGCTATTTCATGCACCATTATCCATAGTATCCACACAAAGAAAGCATAATTAAGCAGTATACACAGAACAATAGGTTTAATCTTGCTTCACTAGGTCTACAGAGTATTACTGTTAATTCACACAAAAGAAATAAGATAGTGGTAGGAATACTGGGGAGTTGCACCAGGTCTGTACATGTCATTCATGTTCAGGCAATAAATAAGTGTACAGTTGAAATCCATTAGTTATTATACAGGTCAGAAAGTAGTTCTAAGTGGATCTAAATGGAGTAGCAAGCCCACTACAGAAGCTGAATGGGGAGTATTTGGCTCAAGGACTAGCCAAAACGAGAAGCCATTCACACACAGGTTAATTCACCCCAGCAGCTGGTCTGTAATTGAGCCAATACAAATCTCTTAGATCAGTGGTGTCCTGTGTAGAGAGAGGGGACCACTGGTTGTGGCCACATGGCAGGCATTCAGGTCCAGCCACCACTATCTGCGGGCTTCCATTCATTGTACCAATCACTCACCAATCACTCACCAATCACTCACCACCCACACTATGCATTAGGCTAGAGAATTGCTTTAACACTGTATGCATCCCTGCCTCTTCCTTACACACCACTGCCTATCTTACCTCCACCCACACCATACATACACACTTACTACCTGAACGCTATGTATCCCTGTGTCTCTGTATACTGTGTGGCAAAAGCGATATTAATAATTGTCCCTTCACTACACACTGTTCTGTAGCTACTGCCCCCTCCTTCAGCTGTACATAATACTCTTGTACAAACACTCTCCAATTAGTATGGCATACGAGGAACTGCCTTCCAACACAGTAATTTGGGACCACCAGTAATCTGGGGCATTACACCAGCAACTTCTATCCTCTTACTTTCAGTACACACAACTATACCAGTAATGTGTAGCCTCTGCGACTACTGCTATATATCAGCAACGTGTAGCTTCTTCCACTTGTGCAGTATATATCAGCAACATGTAGTCTCTTCCACTAGTTTAGCACACACACACACACACACACACACACACGGGCAACACACCGAAAGGAAGATACGATACAGCAGTGAAGTGACAAACACCCATATGCGATCTCTAATAATGAAATCACACACTCGGCAAACTCCGTGAGAAAAAGTGCAGAGAGCTACGAACACCACTGAACTCTATATACCTTCCCCTTGGACACAGTCACCAACTCCCACTACACATTACACACACATAATTACGTACTATTCACACGTACAACATTGTTTGGGCGGGGGGGAGGCAGGGTGTTCAGATTCCTCCCTACCCTAGTGGCAGTATAGGGTATTGACTGACTTCATTCTGGCATCATAGAGCTACGTACTATATAGTGGCAGTACTGGAAAACATCCACATGTAGATCAGTTCCAAGGTCAACAACCTTGCCACACCAAAGGTCAACATTAGCGGTCCCCCCCTGAGGTAGCAAGACGTAAACCCAGCCAAGGCTATTGTCTTACGCTCGCCCCCGGAGCCTCACCACATGCAGGCTGCTGCTTCTGCTGTCTCGAGCCCTATCCAAGCCAACCCAGCCAGATATTGCTGAATCGCAAAACCTGTTAGGCCGCCTCCTGTTTGGTTAAATTACAGGTCGGAGACAGGGGAGTAATTGAGGACAGACTCATTAGCAGTCAACACACTGTTTCCACAATTGGCACTGGAATGCTGAACCGCCCGAAGCAAGCTTCAACGTAAAATGCATAATCACAAGTTTATGTACGTAGTATATATACAACACACTGGCTTTTCTATGACCAAGCTATAGAAGTCTCACTAACAGCCACACCCATAGAACAGAAATTTTAACTCTTTACTCACTACATGTACATATAAAGCTGGGTTCTTGGTAAAACCACTGTACTGGCCAAGTAAAGAATAGAAAGATGGGGTATGTAGGCAAGTAGCAGAACATAAAACACTCCATTGAAAAGGTCTTAGTCCTGCTTGGCAACCTGAGTTCTTGGTAAAACCACTGTACTGGCCAAGTAAAGAATAGAAAGATGGGGTATGTAGGCAAGTAACAGAACATGAAACACTCCATTGAAAAGGTCTTAGTCCTGCTTGGCAACCTGAGTTCTTGGTAAAACCACTGTACTGGCCAAGTAAAGAATAGAAAGATGGGGTATGTAGGCAAGTAGCAGAACATGAAACACTCTATAATCCTTCCTGGCAACCTGAGTTCTTGGTAAAACCACTGTATTATTTTGAATTATACCAGGGAACTGGGTGTCACTGATTGGGGAAGTGAGACATCCATCACATCCAGTGTACTAGGAGATGACCCAATGCTGCCATGCACTTTGGAGAGTCCCTACTGTGCCACTATATGGAGCCTCAGTACATTCACACGGTTGTAGGGATGTGTATAGTAAGTGGGCTCACAAGGGTTACCAGCCAGTTAGTTAACAACTGAACTCTGTCATTGGATGAAGCGTGACAGGATGTGTACTTATATAACTTGTATACAGAAAGTGCTACGTACTATAATTATACATGCACCAACTTTCTCCTCTCTGGGTAAGCAATACTAAAGGCCACTACCAATTGATTGTATGTAGGTGATAATTAACAACTGCGAGGAAATGCATGGGGAAACCACAGACGAGCCTAGATATATATATATCATGTGCACTTTCTGTATGATTAAACCTTTGGACGCCATGGGTATCTCCTTAAATAAGCAGAAATTGATGTATAAAGTATTATAGCGCCTAGTATTATATTATATACCCATATATAAATTCTTATGGACTACGGGGGCTCTGGACACATTTATGCAGTGGCTGGTTAAGTGTTAAGTAAATGTTAAAAACTGTGTATGCAGCTGGTCTAACTCTCACCTAGTACATAGTGACTTACTGGCGTCATGCACGACCTGTTAAATAGAGGTAGGAGGGAACTGGGTATAAACCGTGCATTTCTGCACCAGGTTCTGATGTACATGAGAACAGCAGATGCGACATATGGATCGGTATGATAAAAATTTTCAAAGTTCCTATGGTCACATGTAGTACGGTATACACACCTGGCCAGTACAGGGTCCATACAGAACTTATTACCACTGATTCACAGACAACAACATACTGGGCAGTGCAGGGTCTGTTATCAACTTACCCCTCCCACCCAGGCCCATACATATACACACTTAGTCGATGGAGTGATGCTGACCGGCTGTGCTCCGACAAGCAGAGACTAAAACATTGACCCGGTGTACTCTGTGCTATTTGATCAAGTTTGGGGAACAGGGAGCGGGTTACTACTACTCTAACGTACATAATAACATGTGGTCTTGTAACATGGGAAGGCAGGTGTGTGTGTGTGTGTGTGTGAATATCACGTACCGTTGAAGTTTTGAGGATCACACTGGTAGTACTGTGGACACAAAAAGAGGCATGCACAATAAACATTCTCGTTTTTGAAGCAATGCATGGGCCTAGAGAACCAAGGGTTAAAAATACATAGCACTAAAGTCAAAAACACTCGACGCAAAAAGAATGAACACACGACTATAGTGCAACAAATGAATAAAAGTGTACTGCAAACACTCATGTGCAGAGCTAAGCGTGTACACGAATGAAGCTTCTCCACACCTATGTTGTGTCACGGATTTTTGCATGGAGTAGTTAAAAGGGGTTAAGACCAGGGGGTTAAAATCTGTGCCAGGGAGGGTTTGTTGATTGAAACACGGCTCACCTTGGTCCAGTCAGCTCCGTAGGATATGTCGTTGAGGTACCAGCAGGTGGAGAGAATTGCATGGAGACCACTGGCAGTCACTCGCTTCATCTCGTCCTCCCAGCCTTTCTTCCACACATCTATCACTGTATTGGGTAGCACCTGCCAGAGAGTCATGGGTTCATACAGGATTTAATACAGGATTTAGACCACTGGTTGGTGTACATACAACACTGTATTGGGTAGGACCTGCCAGCAGAGAGTCAGGGGTTCATACAAGATTTAATACAGGATTTAGACCACTGGTTGGTGTACATACAACAGTGTATTGGGTAGGACCTGCCAGCAGAGAGTCAGGGGTTCATACAAGATTTAGACCGCTGGTTGGTGTACATACAACACTGTATTGGGTAGGACCTGCCAGCAGAGAGTCAGGGGTTCATACAGGATTTAGACCGCTGGTTGGTGTACATACAACAGTGTATTGGGTAGGACCTGCCAGCAGAGAGTCATGGGTTCATACAAGATTTAGACCGCTGGTTGGTGTACATACAACACTGTATTGGGTAGGACCTGCCAGCAGAGAGTCAGGGGTTCATACAAGATTTAGACCGCTGGTTGGTGTACATACAACACTGTATTGGGTAGGACCTGCCAGCAGAGAGTCAGGGGTTCATACAAGATTTAGACCGCTGGTTGGTGTACATACAACACTGTATTGGGTAGGACCTGCCAGCAGAGAGTCAGGGGTTCATACAAGATTTAGACCGCTGGTTGGTGTACATACAACACTGTATTGGGTAGGACCTGCCAGCAGAGAGTCAGGGGTTCATACAAGATTTAGACCGCTGGTTGGTGTACATACAACACTGTATTGGGCAGCAGAGAGTCAGGGGTTCATACAAGATTTAGACCGCTGGTTGGTGTACATACAACACTGTATTGGGCAGCAGAGAGTCAGGGGTTCATACAAGATTTAGACCGCTGGTTGGTGTACATACAACACTGTATTGGGCAGCAGAGAGTCAGGGGTTCATACAAGATTTAGACCGCTGGTTGGTGTACATACAACACTGTATTGGGCAGCAGAGAGTCAGGGGTTCATACAAGATTTAGACCGCTGGTTGAGATAGGGGGTGTTTTTCACGAACTGTGTGTGATGCCTATGCTAATGGGGTTGGTTGCTAGACATTACTGCACTATAGCCAGACCAATCAATTGTCTACCTGACAAGATACTATCCTATTCATAATCCCTAGAGTGCTTTTCATAGACAGTCAAACATTATAATAATAATTATTGTGATGGCTACATAATTATGCTAAATACAAGGAGCATGCTGTAATCAGTTGCTAGACATACAGAATGCAAGACAGTAATAGTTAACAAGTCGTAACCAATTGTCTGCTTGACAATACATTCCAAAGACACTGCGTGATGGCTCAAGGGGCAAACTGGGTAATTATTATGGGGAGGTTGCTATTTTATACTTACAGCAAGAGACCCACTATGTATATTAATATGTACGTATATTTGTCACACTTTTCATAAACAGATGTGACACATTGGTTGTGGTGGCTAGGCTATGTCACTAGGAGGGGTATATACTGGAAATGTATCATTGGCGAGGGTTGGTTGACATTATAGTACTATAGGGAGACTAAATAGTCTTACATTGGGTGGCAGGATCGACGGCAGGTCCCTTGACAATTACCACTAACTACGTACGTACCGGTACGCACCGGGGTTAGCACTGGCTCACTGACCCCTAAAATGTATATACCCACAGGAAGTGTGAGGTACAGCAATAAGGCTAGATCATGGGGGGCGGCATGTGAAACAAGATAGTTCTAATGCCACTGACGTGCCCCCTTCAAATGTGTGCCTACAAACCTACGCATATACAACCCTCACCTGCACACATAAGTACATGACAGTAATAGCATATTAATGTAGGGCGTAAGGAACTTTTTGCTACTACCAAATGTGGAGGTCAATAGGTGAGAGGGGTATAGCATCTATGTGCCATCAAAACTCAACAAATCTGGTCGTATTCACGAAAATTGAAATTTAATTGGGGCAAAGTGATATGTCCTATATATGTGCATACTGTAAAAGAGTTGCATCAAACGACACATCCATCAGTTTTCAATGTACGTATACAGAGCTATCTACGTACAATGCCCCTCACAGTAGGCGGTCATGTGTCCCTGAGAACTCAACTAAACTGAGCATATGCTTCAATGTCAGTAGCTATATGTAGCTATGTAGCGGGGGCCTTTCAGAGGCAGCGCATGTTAATATGTACATTCATTCTATTCATTCTCTTGTGGAAAGCACATCAGTAAGCGTCCGTTACAGTGTGTTGCGGGACAGAACCACCATATCGTATACCCACACTTGGTGTGTACAAAAACACCAAACACTCGAGCATTTACACATGCCTGTGGTCTCGTAACAGAATTGGAAAGGTCGCCAGTTCGCAGGAAAATTTGCTCACAGTTACCTAATAAAGCGGGCGAGCAACCACGGCTAAGTTTATTAATTCTATTAGCATCACTGTGGCAAGGGTGTATCTGCTGGTACATGTTTAGTTGCGTTCTGTGTTGCATGTGACGTGATGCTGTAGTTGGGTGACAAGGCTGTTAATGCAATTCCCTGCCTCCACAATATGTAAATAGGAATGCTAATTGAAACAACTATGGAAAAGCGTAGGCCGCTACATAACGGGAATATACGCAGAGTTCTACGTGTATGTATGTGTGTTCCCAATGCAGCTACTGTGCCTCCCCCTGTATGCCGCTAACCCTGTTATCAACACGGCTTGATTGGATTGGACCAAAAACACAGGGGTTAATTTAGTACGTAAAATTGTTACCATACCTTTTGCTATGCTCATCTACGTAAGACAGCACGCTACTATAGGCGTAGTACTTATTACTTCAAAGGGATATATGCATGTACATGTGGCATGCCAGCAACTGTGCATCAATACATGGTGGAATTATAAACAAGGAACGTAGTATGTTTTGGACGATATACCAGCTACCTTGCCTTCTCCGCCCTTGTCTAACCCTGTAATCAACTGATTTGATTGTATCGGTTCCTAAAACATGGGAACTTTTGGCAAAACAAGCACTTTGTTATGCTTATGTACAGGCATCGCAGCGACCACAAATTGTATCACGTGTGTCGTGTTTTGCGAGACGGAACTTGTAAAAGATTTCATTTGGGTACATTCTTGACTCTATGCCAGGAGGAAGCAGGCACCGGAAGAAGGCTAGCGGTGATGTCATATGACATCATCGATTAGACAGAAATCCACCGCAGTGGCTTCATTGAGGGTCATATTTACTATAGTAGGTTGTTAGGCTGTCGGCAAACACCAGTTGAACTTTCTACAATTCTGCCTGTTCCAAGAGTCCTCTATTACGAGAAATGCTGCTGCCATCTGAAGAAAGCATATAAGCTCAAAGCATTTTTTGCTAGTAAGCTTCTTAAATCACAAATAAAGATAGCTTTTAGTCTTAGACGTTTCCCAGTAGTCACTATAGTGTGGTGTGATTGTTGGGTAAATGGGACAGGGAAGGTAACATCACATTAAGTAGACTTGAGAAATAACCCAACAACCCTCGCGCAATCCAAGCTGTATTATATACTTGCAGTGAATAGATTAGTTGTGCAGGTGTCTTACTCACAACAGTTAACCTACTGCCCCTTATAATTACAAGGAAGCATGTTTCCTCTTTCAATGGGAAAAGTATTATACAATGACGCAAAGAGCTGGTGGGATTGAAGGAAGGAAGACCCGTGGTTCTCCCCTCTATACCCCCTCTATACCGAGGGAAAGGATTTCAGGAGAACTATACATATAGGTGAGTAGTGCCAGTTAGACAATTGTCATGCAGGGATTCTGAATGTATAACAGCTAGTTTCATCATCACACATTGTGTTGCATAGTAGACTTTGAACCCCGCCTGCTGAGCTGCCTTGGTATGTAGCTCAGTAGGTGGAGCACTCTGTAAAAAAACTGACGTGTGTCCTATAGGGTTGAGTCCTGCCTAGGACAGCTCTTTTTTCTTTCTCTGGGTGTCGTTGATGTGTCTTTGAATAATTGACATCTCCGATATTCATACAAACTGCATCGTCTATCATTACTGGCAAAGTAGCCAATGCTAAAAGTATTGGCAGTATAATATGAACTTTCAACTTTCCTAAATGAGACAAAACTGTGCTGTGACACAGCCAATAGTTCATTGCTGCTAATAAAGCCAGTGGACCCTGGGACAATTGGAAATTAACCTGGTTCTGCTATTAGCCAGGTGTTTAGAGCCAGGGACAATTGAATTACTCTGCAGGGATAATCGTATTAATCTATTGAACAGCACTCCTAACATTGGGATACTCTGTTTGCACTATGGGATAATTGTCAATCCTCTGATAAGGGAGAGTCATTTCTCAAGAGCCAAGATGTCCCAACTAGAAGTGCAGGAACTATTGAAGGAGGCAAATTAGGAGCCAGAGAGAGAGTAGCTCTACACCAGTTAGGGCCATCTGTCATCATTATCGTCACACATTGGAGATCAGGACTATAATTCAGTCTCTAACAAAACTGCATGCGTTCTGTATGACGTGAAACAAATGCCTGTCAATGCACTGTGGTTATTTCGAAACGTGCAAAAGCATGCACGTGTATTTGGATGGGGTGGGAGTTACATGTCGAATTTAGGTGGCCCTGTTAGAAAGTTATCCAACACAGACAGAGATATGCAAACATGTGTGTATTACGCAAGTCGATGATGAATAAAACCCCGCGTATATACACAAATATGGCTGAACCCAAAGTCTCGCCACCAATGTATTGACAATACATTGGTGGCGAGACTTTGGGTTCAGCATAGAGACTGTATGCTCACAGAAAAATTCCTTTTCTGGGTCATACATCACGCCGGGTTCGTATTATCAGTACACACTCTAATTGTGTTTGCAATACTCGGCACTGTATATATAATATACCAGCTGGAAGAAGTGAGCAAGTACAAGAAGCAGTACAGTACATAATAGTACAGTACTGGTATAAGAGGGGGAGGTGCTGTGCATTATTAACCCGACTAGACAACGCTGTCAGCGAACAGTCACATTTCATCACACACACACACACACACACACACATTATAGGATTATGACCAATGCCTATAGGATTGCCTTCAGGGTGCTCCCAAATGGCAGCTAGTACAGTATAAAGGGTGCTCCAAAATGCCCAGTGCCAATGTAAACGTCACACACGTACATGATACAGTACTATATGTACATGATACAGTACTATATGTACATGATACAGTACTATATGTACATGATACAGTACTATATGTACATGATACAGTACTATATGTACATGATACAGTACTATATGTACATGATACAGTATTATATGTACATGATACAGTACTATATGTACATGATACAGTACTATATGTACATGATACAGTACTATATGTACATGATACAGTACTATATGTACATGATACAGTACTATATGTACATGATACAGTACTATATGTACATGATACAGTACTATATGTACATGATACAGTACTATATGTACATAGCTGCCAAAAGGCACAGTGTTTGATAAGTTCCTAAAGGGAACCTAGTGGTATACAGGATTGTACTGCAGACTGCCTTCAATCAGTTGATGTGACTTACAGTACATATATACCTGCTTATTGACAATACAAAATTCTCAGAATAAGTCAAGGGTCTAGCTAGGAAGTGATGTGCTCATAAATAATGCAACATGGGGTGGGCTAAATTTTCCTTTCGAAGTGGCCTAAACTTTTCGTACTTTTAGCAATTATCTGAGGAAGAAAACAGGCCTACAAACCATTCTGAATACATTAACTATAGCTATAAAGTGCAGTGAAAATCTCTAAATAGGTGGCCCAAATATTCATACTTACAAAGCGGCCTAAAGTTTTCGTACTATTCGCCAGTGCATGAGGTGAAAGATGGGCCAACAAACCACCTCGGTCATAGCTGGAGAGTGCAGTACAATCCATCTTCAAGAGTAAATGTGAAAAATGGGCAAAATTTCATACTTCCGTAAAAGGTGACCTAAATTGTTTGTACTTTTCGTGCGTATGTAAGGTTAAATATAGACCAACAAACCATCTTGAATGCCTTGGTTATAGCTGGAGAGTGCAGTACAAATAACCTTTAGGTGCGAGCAATACGTTGTAGGTCAAAGCAATATACGTTGTTAATCAAAATCAGGAGTTAAATGAATTTCAGCTTGAACTTCATATTGCATAAGTACGTAGCCCACGCAGGGGGACTTGGACAGGTCAAGGTGTACTAACATATGGACCGCCATAGACACCCAGTGCAAATGTTGTAACAAACACAGCACAGATTGCATAGAGTCACATGATTTACCTTTCTCGACCACACACACACACGGACACGGTAAAGAATTAATTCCTAGTGTTTGCAAAACATGACGGCACAATACCTCGAGTCCGTTGTCGAAAATCTCCTGCCAAACAATGTACTGCTTATTGAGTCTGGCTACCAAATCCAGGAGGCTGTAAAATAGCATTAAAAAATCCAATGATTAAGTTGTCATCTGTGTGCTCAGATTGCAAGTTTTAGGTATTCTGTTAAATCTATGCTGTTTAAGAGAATGAAATTTAAATAATAATGGGGTCCAGCACAAAAATTTCTTTAGCCCTACTGAACTGCCAGATTCCCCCGTCACTCAATACACTTCATTGCAAATTTGTTCGCAGCTGGATTCATATGTTACGTTTATTTTCATGCACAAAAGAGAGTGAACACCCGATTATGTATAATACATATTACGTACGTGGTTTCATGGTATTGTTCAACTTTGGAGTAGTCTGTGTAGCCATGATCTTTCATCCACTGCTGAATGACAGGGTTACTCTCCCTGGAGGAATTATTGAAAGGAGAGAGAGGAGGAGAAGAGGGAGAGGGAAGGGAAGGAAAGATGAAAGAATGTGAAATTGGAGGGGTGGTAGGATCGATGGCAGGTCCCTTGACAATGAAAAGCACTAAAGTGCAAACCCGCGGCGCACTGCACATGTGCGGTAGCGCTAATTGATGGGCTGGGCTTATGAATATGCGTTTAAGGATGGTTGGTTTGGCACCCTTATTAGTGGTTGGGATGTGTTGGACAGTGAAACGGAGGCAAAAAGAAGGATTGGTGAAAGTAGATAGGAATAGGTGCAGGAAGAAAGACTATTCCATACTCTAATGACAATCAAATTGTTACAGATGGTAGGCGTGAATCTTCTAGCACTGATGTTCCCACAAAAAATGCAAAATCGTTGACACCTTTATAGTAGAGGTTGGGGGGCGGGGGACAGCGAAAAAGAGGCAAAAGAGGGATTATTAAAGGCAGATAGGAATAGGTGCAGGAAGAAAGAGTGTACTACTATTCCATACTCCAACGATAGTCAGAATGTTACAGATTGTTGGCCTATCTCTTCTTGCACTGTTGTGCCTACAAAAAATGCAAAATCGTTGACACCCTTATATTAGAGATTGGGGGGTATATTAGCAAAAGGAGAGGCAAAAGAGAGAATAGTGAAACTATGTAGCTAGCAATAGCTGCAGAAAGGCGGAGTACGTCACAATTACATATTAACGCAATCTTCTCTTTTCAGTTAAAGTCAGAAACGATTATGAAAATACACATTGTCGTTCATTCAAAAAGAGGGAGTAAAATTTACAGGTGAAGCGAGCCTACTATCATTTTAATGGGATAAGATTTTTATTTTATATCCAGCCACTGGTTCTATCACACATACCGTTTCGTTGTACGTTTTTCTGAATTTTCGCAATTGTGTATATACGCTGTATGCGTGTGAGTCACATTACCTCACCAAGAATGCATTGCTACATAGAAAACCATTACCAGCAGGAGAAGGAGACTTCGTCTCCACCCAGGTGAAGGTATGGATCGGGAAACACTCCAGCCACCTCTTTAAAAAACGTCCCCAGATACTCCCACGTCGTGTTCACCACTGGATTAATGGGTCCATACGTGATTTCTGTGGGTGACAAGTATGAGGGAGGATGGGATGGGGGGGTTAGTCCCTTTGGAGGGACCGAGCTTTTCCCCCTTCGGCACTCCCTTTTTTCGTGCTCGTTGCTTTGGTGTTTGCTGCTGTGGTTCGAACAGTGGGTGGGTTGTGTGTGTGTTTTTTGGTTTTGTTGTCGTTCCTTTTCTTTTTACTTGGTCTCGGGTTCCTTGTTTGGCCTCCCGCTTGTGCCCTTTCCCGGACTATTTTTTTCTTTTGTTTCGTTGCATTGGTCGGGTGTGCCTGTCCTTTCTTCCTTTTTTTTCCTTCCCACCTTCTTTGGTCTTCGGTTTTTTTCACTTTTTGCTCTTTTTGTTCAGCCCGTGTATCTCCTTTCCAACTTACAAACAGCATTCGCTAAACCATACACTCGATCATGGCCATATTATAGGATACCTTCATTTCGAGACATGATTATTGTAATAGCCGAACATGTACGGAATGGAGGTATGCAAGAGAGCATTATACCTGCACTAAGTCGCCTATGTATGTATGTATGTATGTACAAGTGTGGGACTGACCCGTCAGGTTTTCCACTGCTGTCGTAGCATGCGGTGAGTAGCTCTGGGATCCCTCTCCCTCCCAATTTAGATTTTTTTTCAATTGCTGTGATTCCTTAATACCAAACGAGGGGGAAATGAGAGATGTGAACACAACAAAGATAGATGGTAAGTTTTTTAATTGTAAAGTTATAATACCAATTTTTTCTTTCCTCTTTTTCCCTTTCTTTTCTATTAAAAGATTGTGAGAGAGAATCAGTAATGATGTCAAATCTCACTATTTTTGTAAACTTCTATCCGGGGGTTTTTTTGTGCAAAATCCAACCCAATGCCCACCCGGACTGCCCTCTGAGCATGGCTTTCCTTTTTCCCCCCCTTTTTTTCATTTTACTTTTCTATCACCTCCCTTTTTTGCTATCAATGACTTGGGGATAGACGTCCCCCTTTTGCGTCTTCTGTTCGTACCGCTATCCATAATTTGGGAATTCATACCGAAATTCACTTTTCCTCCCCATTTTTACACCCTACACGGATTTAATGCCATTTAATGTCATGTTTTATACAATATGAATTAGGATTCCTCCTTTTTCCCCTGGAATAAAGGATGCCTATTTTTTACGGGGACACACCTATGGCTCTTTTCTAACCCTTTTACTTTTTAATTTTCACCACAACCCAGCAATGGCAATCATTACCGACACGTAATATCGATCACCACTTTACTTACGCCCCATTTATTAGTACCTGTCATTTTTCAGAGGCTTTTTTTCTCTTACTTATGAGAATAACACACTATGGCGACTTTTTTCTTTTGGTCCTTCTGTTATTTAATTTTGGCCATTCCCCCTTCTGTTTTTTCCATATCTCCTCCCTATTTCGCGTTCTATCTATCAAAAAAGTCCTCATGTCTGTACTTCTGTGGTTATATATGTTGTTCTTTAAAGGGTCTTGCTGCTTGTGATATATTGACTGAATTATCCGCGCAAATCTATATGTTCCGAATATCCAACATTACCTGTCGCTTATTAAACATCTGGTGACGCCTCTGGGCCCTATCCTGATGTCAATGTGAACAACAGATTGCGCATTCATTGTACCTGCTTCTCCTTTTCTTTTCCCCCCCCCCCCCCCTTTTCTTTTTTTATGGCGTATCTGGAGACAGGCACGTTTGTTTTCTCCGGGTACTACTCGGCAACCGTCAATTGTCACCTGCACACAGTTTTTTGTCAAAGTTGTTTTCTTTTCGGAATAGAGCTTCGGTCTCGCCCGTTCAAACTGCTACACTCACACCATCGCTGGTCACAATTTGCTAATTTATATTTCTTACACAAGCTCTGCATAACCCTATCCAGACCCCTCACCTCGTGTTATAATGGCCTCAAACTTCTTTTAAACATTTCAAAAAGCCCATGACCCCCAACTCTATGGTTTGACTTCAACGCACAGGTTCCTATTAGCGTATTTTCTATTTCTGTTATACAATCCAGCTGCAGCCCCTATCTGTCCCTCCATTGTCGAAACGCATACTACACACCCGTGAGTATCCATGACCCGTGAGGGCATACACCTGGCGCAGCAGCGTTTCTCTTTATAGTAGGAGTGCATTATTATTTTATATTTGCATCATTATGCCCCCCATCGTAGATTAAGTTTTTGATTTTTTACGGTTACATTCCGTACAATCATCCAGGATCTTTCTTTCTCCCCGCTTTCAGTGATACACGAATCGTGACACTGAGGGGTTACATAAACGGTACCTTTGGCTGAGCTGAGGGAAGACGATGCTCTCGTAGGGAAAGCTCTGGTCGTTCTGTGATTGTTGCCAGTGGAGAAGGACGTTGGATTATGCTGTAGGACATTGCATCCTAGTTGGAGAAGGGAGACGGGGTTTTGGGGAGTGGAGAGAGGATTTTTGGGGGGAGAGAGAGGGGAAGAAAAACGTTGAATCAAGAAATGGTTGTAGCGCTGTGGAGCATCTGCCACTTTGGGACTACAGAAGCTTGATGCATCTTGTAATACACTTGCATTTGCAATTTCAATATTTCTCTGTCAACCTATTTCAGACAAAAATATTCGGTGGCATGAAAATTTCCACAGACCTCCCAAACGCACAACCTGCTACCTACCAGAAATGTTTATTATATGTTTCTTTTAATGGGACTTGCCGGTGAACGACAGTGGGACATACGGCAGTGACGTTTTGTATATACTTCTAGCAAATTGTGGTCACCCCAAAAAAGGTTTCCCACCACCCATCACTGCCGCCTGCAACTACGTATAGGACCCAGTTTTTGTGAGCTAGGTATTGTTGTTTGCCCTTTGTGTGACTCTGGTAGTGGCGAGGACGCGGTCGATCATTACGCCACGATAGTGAACTTGGGGAGCGTCCATTAGCATCACTCCGAGGATAGCATTATTGATGCGCGAGGAGGCATGAGGCGATGGAGGTCTTTTTTTTTTCTAGGAGGAGGATGGAGGAGGAGGTAGGAAGGGAGGCCAGGAGGACCCCGGCGAGGAGGACCGGACGTTGTTGGCCCCGAGTGAGGAAGGAGGAGGAAGGAGATTTAGACCAAGCAACCCCGGGAGATTGACACACAGTAACATGATAGTTTGACACCTCTCTAGCCTCCTGTGATTTTTTTTTTTGGAAACCTTTTTCGGTTACCATTATCTACAAGCAACCCTGTGTTGCACGCTATCATTACGGGCTAAAATCTTTACAACACTTCGTAAATACAACTTCATCATTCCTTCGTACTTTACTGAGTTCAAGTCTAATTTAGCTTACTATGCTACTTTCATGCACAAAGTAATAATGGTCACCAACTTTTAAACGCTCCCAGACAAAACCCTTCTTGTCGCTTTCTACTTATAACTATTAGGACCTATTGAGCCGAGATGAGAAGTAGACGAAGGTGAAAATTGTAACCAACACTCTGTATGTAAAACCCCAATACTACCCCTCTTCTCTTCTTGGCTGCTTTTTTGTACCTTATCACCCCCCAATTATGACCGTTGAAAAGTCTCAATTGCTGGAGCAGAAACGACAAAACTTTTGGCAATGAGGTTTACTATTCGTCATCTTGAATATATATCCTTGGTAAATCAGTCATTTTTACCGGTCGCTTCATGCTTGCTGGCTGACATATGTCTCTTTGCAAGTGCTCTTCGATGTCATTTGAAAAGTATTTTCGTCCACACCGTACCTTTCGTAGGTAACCTCTTCTACATGCACGTGCCATATGTGAGTATGAGTACTCGCCCCCTGACCTACTCAGTGCTCACCGTACTACTCACATCCTCCGAGCAGAAGATCATGGCCGCGACAGTTCCTGACTATCCTCATTTCGACTCTTGCAGGGTTGGTATGAGGTAGATAGCTATGTGTGCAAGAAATAGACGGTTAAACCACGCACACAAATATTACATTGGTAGTCGCTACGGGTGATAACGCGACCAGATTTCGCTTTATCGAATTAGGTCCCAGAGATTTAGTTTTTTCCATTTGCTCCGCCCGTTCAACGTAGACATTGATTTCATGGTATGTTGTTCCCCTTCTTTTTTTTTTTTTTCAACTTACCGTCTATAAGCGTTACACTCCGGGTAGTCACGTTGAGGGAGGTCCAGTTGTCCGAATAAAACTCTCGTAGTATCGTACAGGCGCAACCTGAACGACCACCTGGTACTGCTCGCCAACAGCGGCGCCCCGCTCGGGACATACACCTAAACTTCTCGAC